AACCAATCAATCAACCAACCAACCAACCAATCAACCAACCAACCAACCAACCAATCAATCAACCAACCAACCAACCAATTAACCAACCAACCAACCAATCAACCAATCAATCAACCAATCAACCAACCAATTAACCAACCAACCAACCAACCAATCAACCAACCAATCAACGAGTCAGTGTTTGTGCTGCTATAATAACCTGAGCTGTTTGTGTCAGTAACTCAGTACTAATTCTGACTTATTATTGTAGTTTTATATCAGCGCTCGAGGAAGTACAAACGTGTTTTTGTTGGACCGATAGAAGAAAAATACAAACATTATCTTCTGGTCTAGAACGTTTTTTACAGATTGTAAAGCTCTGCGTGTGTGATCGATCATTCTGATCATTTATTCCCATGTTTCTTGCTTCTGTCCGACATGCTGACAGGGTTTTGGCTGATCTGAAGGACAGTGGATATCCAGAGGCTGTGCTAATGTGCCAGAATAATTAATCTAACTCAAAGCTCAAGTTTGACAATAAGTCAAAGTCCTCAAGGACCATGTCAGAGCTAATAAGGGTTATAAATCACATACAGTCATCTTACCCAGATTGAACCACACAGAGCGGATCAGTTAATTATTAATCTTTCCACATAAAAATCCCAGACTTGAGGTTTTTCATCAGATCGTTTCAGCAGAGCTATGACGATGAAGGTGAGCTCAGAACTTCAAACATCTGAAATATTCACCAGTAATTTGATATTTGATTAGATTAAAAATCAAAATCTTCTTTTTTTATTCTTTTTTTTAAATTGTTGATCTTCACGATGTTTTCATAAAATCGGAGAACGTCGGCTCTGAGGTTGAGTTTGCACTGCTGCTGAGTGACAGTCAGAAATGCAGCAGCTCTACATGATGCTGAAATAACATGAGAATGTCTGTTCCAGCTGCTGTCAGTCCTCCTCCTCCTCCTGGTGCCTCTGCTGAGCAGCTGTGCTCCTCTCGTGCTCCCGCTGGACTGCAGCGACATCTACAATGAAGACAGCGGCCGACCCAGCGGCGTGTACACCATCTATCCCATCGGAGCCACGTCTGCTGTCCAGGTAAACTGGAGCTCACTGGAACTGACCTGCTGCACCTCCTGAGCTACAGCCACACCACAAATTCACCAGCTTGTCAAAATATGGGAATTTTCATAATTAAACTATATTCTAATGAGACAATGGAGTAAAATATACTTGTTTTAGTTTAAATGTACATGAAATCTTGTTTTTTATATGAAACAAAACACATTCACATGTGCCTAATAATATGGCCAAATACGGTTCTGATAATCAAACTTCTACTTTTATTCCATAATTAATATAATAATGATAAACCACCCAGAATTAAACACTAGCTATAGTTTGTATAATAATCCCATAATACTGCAGTAATACAACATTACCACGTTTCACTTTGTCATATTAGTTCTTAAATATTTAAAAGTCTGCTCTGCTGTGAGAGCACTTTATCACTTTAAAACTACACGTTAATTAA